ACCTCCGTGAGTTGCGGGATTTGCAACAGCTTCCTCTTGACTAAGTCTTGCACGTTCTCCTTGAGCTTTTTCTCGTTAGCTGTTTGTAAATGAGGTCCTGAGCCTTTTATCCGTGACCTGTTTCTATCAATAGTTTTTCCATTCAGCCAAACAGGTAACGACTTCATTTGATTCTTGTTTGAGGAACGGCTTCCTAATGGGCTTATAATGCCCCGTAAATGGTTTCGACTATTCAGCCCATTAATTCAGCTAACGGGCTAAATTCGGGCCCAACAACTTACCAGACGACTTATCGGTAAGTCGCCTACAAAGAAGACTTACCAGACGACTTAACGGTAAGTCATCTACAAAGAATACTTACCAGGCGACTTAACGGTAAGTCGTCTACGTGGAATTATAGTCAAAAGATATCAGACGACTTACACAGTCATGCAACCAAGATAAGGAGGTTCGGAGGATGTGATACCACTTAGTTGGTGCTGTACGTGGTTTATCCTCCAAAGGTGTGTCATAGTGACTGCAAACACAAAATGTTGAAAAGCAATCAGTTTTGTAGACTAAAAGCAAGCTATTATGGGAAAACAATCACTTACAGATCAGTTTTCAACCAGTCAGCGAGCTCCTTCAATTTGATCATGTTAACTGATCCAAACGGATTATAGACTGGAGCTTTGTCCTTTTTGCTTGGACTGATCACTGTGGCCTTTTTGTTCCGAATGATCACTTTGGCCGTGTTGTTTGCCGTATAAGGAGATTGCTGTGAGGCAGCAAGTTTCCTTGATCGATCACTCTTGGCACGTTTAATTTCTGCCAAATAAATTTCTCTCTTTTCCTGATATCTAGCTTGCTCCTTCACTAGATCTGAAACAGTGGGTTGTTGTTTATCCAATAGTTCAAGGCTCGGTTCTGGAGGAAGGCTGGATGGAAGGCTCGATTCTGGAGGAAGGCTGGATGGAAGGCTCGAGTCTGGAGGAAGGCTCGATGGAAGGATTGATTCTGGAGGTTTTTCCTGGCTCGAAACTACACTCAGCTCTTTCGAGGAAGTAGTACCTGCTGACAAATCTGTTGCTTTACCCCCCTTCGGCAAGCTCTTCTTTCTCGCGTTCGACCCATTAACACTTTCACATTCCCCCCCCCCCCTAGTAAGATCCATTTCAGGTTGACCATTTCTCTTTTTTTGGTTCTTGCATATTAGGTTCAGATTTTTGAGATGATGCCCCTTTTCCTTACCAAGGATCTTCTCCACAGCTTCCACCCTTTCAGACAGATACTTGATCTCCGTAAGGCACGTCCCAAACCCTTGACTCATGGCATCGAGTACGTCCTTCAAAGAATCTTTCAAAGAATTCTTCACGATTCTTTCAATATCCTCTTTGGTCAGCCCACCAACATTGGTACTCACCTCAGCCTCTTCCTCTGCACCTTCCTCTGCATCTTCCTCTGGCTCTTCATCTTCCTCTACCTCTGCAGGTAGCTCTTCTTTACGCTCTGTATGAGCTTTCTTAAGAGGTCTTGGACTCTCTTCCCTCACCAGAACTATCGCTTTCTTCCCTTTCTTTGCTACCGGCCTTGTATTGACCCAAGTACCGGTGACTTCCCAGCAATCCATGGTCCACTTCCATGGTTTCTTTATGTACATGAGTTTAAATATGTTCTCCGCAGCCCAGTCCTCAGCATAAGAGTCCCATTTTGGAAACATTTCAGCATTGCCCTTCTCAACAAAGTTCATAACAATAGTCTGCAGTAAATAGAAGATATAAACTTAGATATTTTACGAATTAATAAAGATGGAAAGAAAAGATTTTGCAGAAAAACTTATGATTAAGTCGTCTAAAAAGTCGTCCAACTGGACGACTTAGCAGACGACTTAAAAATAAGTCGTCTGAAAAGTCTTCCAGCTGGATGACTTAGCAGACTACTTATTATTAAGTCATCTGGGTAGTCTTCCCGGATGACTTAATGATAAGTCCTTTACTAACTCATCCAGCTGGAAGATTATTCAGACGACTTATTTTTAAGTCTTGCAGTTGGAAGACTTTCCAGATGACTTAATCATAAGTCATATTCTTCTGGAGTAAAGTAAATACATGTCTTTCAATAGCATCTTTAAACCATCTTCGTCATTTGCCATACTTGTAAGCTAGTATCGGTGGAGACGGTCTGTTTGGTATGGGATGACCATAATTAGCACCCAATTGCGGCAGAGCTGTGTACACCCAGACCTAGAGACCATGTACAAACCCATCAATGGTGTAACAACCGGATATATCTTTGCCCTTTACCGAGTCCATCAACACCTTAAAGGCGACTCTCCCCCATGGATAATTCTCAAACCGTTCTAGATCCATCACTAGCCTTGCTAGAACAGCCCGTGTAGGGGTTGAGAACTTCCTCCCTTCAATGTATCCAGCCAAGATGGCAAGGTACCCGAGCCGCTTGCGATCATCCGGAGACCACCTTTCGCATCTCCCAAATGCTGCAATTATCTGATCAGTAGTTGGCCCAGCTTCGACATTAACTCCCAACAACTCCCAGAAATCAACCAACTCCTTTGTAACAGAACAATTTGGTATCTCAAGGTCCTCTATGTACTCGCAGTTTAGACCAGTGAGGTATTCAAACTCTAACAGTGAAAACCTCAAAGTTTGTGGACCAGCAAGACCCCACAGCTCATACTTCTTCTTTATGTCGAGTTAGAAACCGAGCATATAGTGAACCAGCCTTGAAGCCCATTCAAATTCCAGCTCTTGGAACTTGATGAAAACTTCCAACTTAGACTCATTCAGCTCTTCATATTCGTCATCATTAAGAGCATTTCTAAGAGCAGTATACAACTTCGTACACGGATGATACAAAATGCTATGCACTGCGTCAGGCTCTTGCCCTAGTGTATGTATCCTACGGGGGAGTTCTAGAATATCCATTTTTTCTGCAAAAAAAATCAAAGACAACCATCTCAAACACACAACCATCTAGTATAACATTGTAATTATAAGTCTTCCAGGTGGACGACTTAAAAATAAGTCATCTGAAAAGTCTTCCAACTAGATGACTTATCAGACTACTTATTATTAAGTCGTCTGGGTAGTCTTCCTGGACGACTTAATGATAAGTCCTCTACTAAGTCATCAAGCTGGAAGACTTTTTAGACGACTTATTTTTAATTCGTCTGCTAAGTCGTCCAGCTGAAAGACTTTCCAGACAACTTAATTATAAGTCTACCAAGACTTCCAGTAGAACATTTGAAAGCTGACCTGAAAATTCAGAGAAGATATAGTCGCCTTCGACATATCAGTTATAGAACTGCAAAAATAGACGTGAAAAAAGAAGCGTGATGAGAACGACGGTGAGAACGATGTTTTATGTTCTTTTTAGATATAACTTACCAGTGGCAGAGTTCAACGAAACGCCTCTAAGAGAAACGGCGCTAGGGTTTACAGAAAAACGGTGCTACAATTTCCACGCAGATCAGAAATATAGGAAGCGGCAGTGAGAATGGTGGTGATAACAACGATGGTAAGGCGGAGATAACAATGGATTAGAGAGATTCGACGGAAATCACCTTTGAGAGAAACGGCGTAAGGGTTTTCTGAATTTCGCGAAAAAAGTGAGAAAAAAAAAACATCTTATATATGTTCGGTAAAAAATCGGTTAGGTTTAAAAGTAATTTGGTAAAATCAAAGGTTCGGTCCGGTTGGATGATATATAATTAAGTCGTCTGTTGATACTATACATCCGACTAAATCGTCTGCCTTAAATATATTTACCGGACGACTTAATATTAAGTCGTCCCACACCCTAAACCCTATAGACCCTAAACTAAATTGACTAATTTAACTAACTAATCACGTTATAAAATCAAATTATACTTAAATAGTGTTTACTATACACATAAATAAACGCACTTAGGTAAATTTTAAATTTTTCAAAAAAACATTTATGCTTTCGAAAATCTAACCCTAAGAAACACATACAATACTACAACATATGTTGGCAAATCCTAAACCAAATAATATCATGACTCACTACTTTCACTCATCTATGTTAAAAATAATTAAATTTTGTTCTATCTTAATTTAAAAATAACTATACCAGATGATTTTCAACTAAGTCAAGTCGTCTGGATAGAATAGTTACGGGGTTAGAAAGGTAAAAAAAATCGGGTTTTTTATTGGTTCACAAAGAGCTGGTTATAATTTTAATAGGTTTTTAGGTTACTTTTGCATTTGATTCATGTTTGAATTTATTTTTGCATTTGAAACCAAATTTTGAGTCATATTTGACAAATTTTCCTATTAATGTAGCTAATGAATGATAGTAATTTAATCGGCAATCTAGAGATAAACATAACAACATATATACAAGTATCTTTTTTACTTCTTATATACATTATCTAAGTTCTCTTGATCACTGGAATGACAAGACCAAGACGTATCGTCCAATAATCACGAAAGACAACGATTTATTTTAAAAAAAAAAAAAAGCACCAAAGAAACGAATAATATGTGCTGAGTGGATAAATAAGTATTAAAAGTATTAATGAGTAAACAAAACACAAAAACTTTGACTATCCACCAAAGATCTGGACGTATTTAGAGTAGTAGATATGGATGTTATCAATTACTTATTTACTTTGGTGGCGGCTTATGAATGCATGAACCAAAATGTGGTAAGTAAAATTCCCAAACGTAAATTTCCTTTTTTTTGTTTTCATCATCCAAACGTAGATTTCCATTTCTTTTTTTTTTTTGTCAACAGATTTCCATTTCTTAAGTAATGACTAGTTTCCTTTTTTCGATGACGGTGAATTACAAGAACAGCACTTTCACTAGCTTGCAGACCAAGTCGAAGGGTATTTTCGTTAATTAATAATATCTTTACACATCCAACCTAATACCAAACCATCACAAGTGAAACAACACAAACTAAAACTCCCAACCGTAGAGATCACACACCAAAAAGTGAAGTCAGTTAAATACAATTGAGAATAACAATAAACGATGGTTGCAAGAAGTGAGAATCTTGATCTGAGGGTGGAAAATACAGAGAAGAATAGCGAGAAACTTGAGAGGACGGTGGAAGATACAACAAACTTTCTGACTCTGTTATCAAGAGTTGGGGGATACGGCGGAGGAGGCCGAGAGAGTCGTGTTTACAGATGCAAAACTTGTATGAAAGAGTTTTCATCGTTCCAATCTTTAGGAGGCCATCGCGCAAGCCACAACAAACACGTTGACAACAGCAGCAGCGACGAACAGTTGTCGTCACTTTCTTCGGGATCCATCGCTAAGAAGAAGACCAAGAACACAAGGGAACATCGTTGTACGATATGTGGCTTGGAGTTTCCGATGGGACAGGCTCTTGGTGGTCACATGAGGAAGCATAGAAACGAGGAAGAAACTAGCGGCACGTTGGTCACACAATCTTTTTTTCCTGAGGCGGCGACTACGACATTGAATAAATCGAGTAGTGGGAAAAGTGTTGCTTGTTTGGACTTGGGGTCAGATTCTATGGAGAGTGGCATCAATTTGAACTTGGAGTTGGGAAGCATCATGTACTGATTTTGACATTCATCTCGTATTCAGATATTACTCTTAGATCCTCTTCACTTGTGTTTCTTTAGCTTTATAGAGTAGCTATTAGTATCTGGATTTTGCAGAGTTTGTATAGGGGATAGGATTTTACATGAAAACTCGTCAAGATTGAGATATGAATGTTGCAGTTGGTTTTAGTTTTCAAACTTTTGTAACAAGTCTTTTTGTTATGGTTTGAATTTTAAAAGTTTTATGATCACTGACACAAAAAGACAATTAGATCAGATGTGAGTATTTGAGTAAAGATCAATGGGATGGCTATTTAATCAAATATAGTGGAATCAAAAAGAATAGCATGCTTTTGCTGAAACTGTCGCTTTAATGGTTTTGTATTGGTTATGCATGTTGTAAACGATTTGTAGGCAACTCTCAGAAGTTTAGAGATTAAATAAAAACGCAAAGCAATAGAAACATAAGAATAAGACAAGGCAATTTTGAACGAATCAGACATGTTGGAGGATAAATCAAAACAAAAATTACAGAAGCACCCAGCGACATCTTAGTTTTTGACTTAAAAACTTCAATTATTCCTAACTTCCACAGCATGCAGATTTCTGTGTGGCCTGCGCGGCTCCAGTTTCCTGATCAGTTTGGCTTATCCTGATCGTCGCAGGCTGCAAACGACGAACAAAATATGTAGCAATGCGTTTCAGAAGAACCGTCACAGGAATGATGATTAAGTAACAAGGCAAGCAGAGATGTGAAAAAAGAGAGATGTAACAAACCTCTGCCCTGGAGTCGGTGTCAGAAAGCCTCTGCTTAATGTCCCTCCCTATGGAGAAGAAAACTTCCACGTTTAGGTTTGTCTTAGCACTCTGCAACAAGACGAATTAAAGAGATATATAGATGAATAGGTTTAGCCTCTGAAAAGACAAATCCAATGGTGGTGATGAAGCTAGTGGTGAAGGAACCATCAGAGAAACGTAGGAGGAGGCAACTTTTACCCACACCTGCAAACAAACAAACAAACAAACAAAAAGGAATCTCTAATCTGAATCGATCACAAGTTAACACCACACATTTCATTAATTTAGGATTCCTCAGAGATTCGGATCACATACCGCTGTCTCCAATCAAAAGAAGCTTTATGAGGTAACCCTAATCGGCTCTGGCTCTAGCAGGTGGAGCAGCCATCGATTCTATTCGAGAAAAAATAAAAACTTAAAGATCAAACCATTTTTCATCGTAATACTTCCGAAGAAGAAGAAAAAGATCGTGTCGAGAAAGAAGATCACGAAGAAAACATTTACCGAGTGAAAGGAAAGAAGAAGAGAAGAAACCGATGTAATCGGAGAGGAGGACCGTCAGCGAAGGATATGGTTAACGGCTATAATGTGCCACTCCCGATTTAGATTCCTCTTCTTTCTGCTTCTTCTTCCTCTGCTCTTCGAGTGCACGTTAGCACTTGAAACCAAGATGAGTTCAAGTTGCGCTGAAAGTGGCAAGGATTCTTCTTTCGTTTTGAGAGGACCTCAAGTGCACGAAGCCTTATGGGCCTTTTATTTATTACTTAAAATCCAAAATCTACTACTACCTCGTCAACTTGGCTGCTTCTCAAATGCATCCCTGACGTACCACGTGTCGTTGGGTCTATGGCTAGATATCTTGAGTGATGAACTGGCATCCCTTGCATCATACTCATCCTCTCATCATCTTTAAGAATGATATTGGAAAGTGATTTAACAAATACTACTACTAGTAGTTGTTAAACCTTCATAATATAAGGGAAAAATGGAGAATTTGTTTCCTATACACTAAATACTTAAACAAACGTTCACGTAATATAATAGTACAATCATTCATTAACCTACCTATCCACTAGATACAATCATTCATTAACCTACCTATCCTTTCTTATTTATACAAGAGGCGATATTATTGATCTAGCACGAAACACACGAAACGGTGATAGCTATGGCTAATCTTCCTCTGTCACTCGCTTCCTTTGGAGCTTCTTCCAGCAATGATCGCAGAGTAGTTGGTTTCGAAATCCGCCATCCCAAGCTCAAAGAGAATGTTTCCCGAGCACCTTTTACGAAAGAGCCTCTTGCTAAAGTTAAAAACAACCTCAAATCTTATATATATGCTACCAAAAAGGTGTGTGTGCGCTTTAGAGCATCTCCAAAAAGGAACTCTATTTTAGAGTTTCACAAACTCTATATTTGAAGTTTCAAAGTGATCTTCTCCAAAAGAAAAACTTCAAAACTAACTTTAAAATTATTTGTATATTACATTATAGTCCTTATATTTGTCACAATTAATAAAAATTCATAAAAACTTTATAAATAACTAACACATATACAAAAATATAACATCAATATTAATTAATAAAATTGTACATTAAATATAAAACTAGAAATAGTAATACATAATTAAATATTAAACTACAAGAAAAATACACATCATTCCATGAGATGATTCAATTACGAATGGAAAATGAAACAAAAAAGTTAGCTTTAAGAAATTAAAAGAGAAAAAAAAATATTGCTAATCGGTGATATTAATACTCGTGAGTACATTCGTTCTGAACAAAAAAGAATCATACGAAAAATATGTCAAGAAAGTCAAGAACAACCATCTTTGATTACGAAAAACTTGTTTGGATTTGAAGATTTTGGAGCTTCCGGGACTCATTTACTAGATTATTAGTGTTGTTGTAATATTTAAATTTCTATAATAATTACGTTTTCATGTCCCTTTTTAAAAAATAATTTTAATTAAGTTTGTTTTGTAATATTCTTGTTGTCTAATTCTTATTTTAAAATAATATAAACTTTTTTAAAAAAAAAAAAATTATGTGTAAAGCTTAATTTATAGAAATAAATTTAAAATTTGTGAGATATAGTTTTTTTAAAGATTAAAATGATAAATAAGAAAATACTTAAGAATCCTAAATAAGATATGTAAATATAAGGACCAAATTGCAAACAAAAAGATAAAACTTCAAATTTGAAGTTTTGAGAAGTGAAACTTCAAATATGAAGTTTCACTCCCCAAAACTTCAAATTTGAAGTTTTGAAGTTTCTTTTTGGAGAGCAAAAAACTCTATATTTGAAGTTATAGAGAGTCTTTTGGAGATGCTCTTATATAGATCATTATCTCCGTTACTTCATGTTTCTTTTGTTGCTATATAGTTTTTGCTTTCTCTATATTAGTGTGTCTTTAGCTGGCTTCTACTTAAACACTCAATTTTTGGTTTTATTTTGGTCCTTGAACAGCTAGAAACACTTGAATTTGAAAAGATTTCCACCCAAGAAAAACGCAAGACGTTTATTGAGGAACTTGATAAGGCAAGTATTTTTTTTTTCGAACTATATACCATTGGGTTCCAATGATGAGTGATGACATCTGAGACTAAGTGGTTTCTTTTGTGGTTTTAGGTGCAAGATTGGCTTTACATGGACGGTGGATGCTAATGCCACAAAGTTTTCGGGCGGCTTGACTTACTAAAAGCCACTGGGAGCCCCATATATTTGAGGTTTGCTCTCTGCTCATATTGATTGAACCGGAGCTTGCTTGGTAAAAAAGTAATTTGATACAAAACATTTGATACATATTTTTGTAAAAATCAGATGAGCTTACAGCACAACATGTAGCAGTTAAATACACTCAAAAATACCTAACCGAAGAGGATGAGGTACACTGTGACTGACATTACATATTATGCAGTAAAACTAACATATTAAATGACGAATCTTTGTAACAGGACTACAATGTGGAGCAAGCCAGTGTTCACATCAAATGAAGTGTACGCCAATGTATATACTCTGCAAGACAAGGTACACGAAATCAGTTTGATAGATAATTAAAGTCAGCAATAAGGGGATTTTCATTTAAGTTTTTTGGGGGTTAAAATAAAAGATATATGTAGGTGACGAAGGTAAATAAAATTCCAAAGCCAAAGATAGATATAGAGAAAGCAAGCAAGAAGAAGAACGCAACGGAGGAGGATAAATCAAAAGTCTCAGAAGACAACACTAATGCTTCTGAATCTGAAGCTGGTGCCAAAGAAGAAGAGGGCCACAACGAGCTGTGGTTAACATCACGTACATAATAATAGACTTTTTCATTGAACTTATATTTGTGTGTTTAATTGTCAGATAGGAGGTTGGTAGTAAAAGCCAGCCTGAACTGGGCAAACAGATTTGACTTCTTTCTCGACTTCTCATCATATCAAGTTTTGGTGTCTTTTATTCTTCTTTCAATTGAACATTTAATATAGTAAAAATTTATATTCAATCCTATCTTTCTTCTAGCGTACAAAAACATGTGATAAACAAGAAATGTAGTGATACGATGATATGTGAGAGAATAAAAACAAAATTTGTAAAGCTTTTATATAACTAAAATATTTTTTTTCATATCTTATAATTAAAAAGGAAAAATCCCGTCAAATCTAGTGCCCTATTATAACGATTTCACCACGATGCAGGAAATTTTTTTTATCTTTCTATATGATTTGATTAATCGTAGATCTATTTGAATTCTAATTCTTACTTTTTAAATATGTTCATAGGTATTATATTTCTATTTAATGATTGTTTGTTAGAGCTTAGAAGGAGAAGAATGCTTTCATATGTATTTTTTTATTGGTTTTTTAATTTACAATTTTAGTTTATATGCGCAGACCAACGATTATGACGTTTCTTCTTGTGGATCCATATGTACTTAAATCTCTCTTCACATTCATGTTATTCAGAGAAATGAGCATTACAAATGATCATATCATCCAAAACACGTAAACTACAATGTAAGTTTCATGCTTTGTTACTTTCTCTATGTTTTTCAAATAATTATTTGCTTATACACTAAAGAAAAAAAATCTTTAATCAATATTTTACTATAAAAGTTAGTATAACTTTTTATACAATTTATCAACTTTGAACTCAAATATGATTTTATACAATTTATCATATTATAAAATGTATATCCTATAAATTCATATATGTAAACCATATTTTCTTTTTTTTGTTATCTTTTTTTTGTCATCATAAACTATATAGTTCTATGTCAATTATAATATAACTTTATCAAATTTATAACATAATAAATTATGTATATAATTCAGAGTTAGAATATGATATGTGTAACATTTTTGTATATATTTCTAATACTAATGTTAGAATTAAATCGGTTAAATACAAATTTCTATAATAAATATAAGTGATAAAACATAATTATTATATATTTCTATAGATTTACAATATATCAAAATCAAAGCTATTTATTATTCTTTAATTNTATTTCTTTTTTGTCATCTTTTTTTTGTCATCATAAACTATATAGTTCTATGTCAATTATAATATAACTTTATACAATTTATCACATAATAAATTATGTATATAATTCAGAGTTAGGATATGATATGTGTAACATTTTTGTATATATTTCTAATACTAATGTTAGAATTAAATCGGTTAAATACAAATTTCTATAATAATATCATATGTGATAAAACATAATTATTATATATTTCTATAGATTTACAATATATCAAAATCAAAACTATTTATTATTATTTAATTTTATAACCATATTATGGTATTAGGAAAGATATACCTTGTTGGTAAAGGCTTTTAATTAGTTAAATCGTTTATTAATAACTTGCCTTATTTTATTATCAATTACTTGCGCAAGTTGATACGATGATTACCTTATTTTGCCATCAGTTACTTGTCTTAAATGGTTTTATACATTTTATCAACTTTGTACTCAAATATGATTTTATACAATTTATCATATTATAAAATGTATATCCTATAAATTCATATATGTAAACTATATATTT